CTTTGTGCAGTATATCATTGGCTTCTAGTATTCCCAGATACTTATAGCCCTCGTCCTCCAACTCATGGATCTGTTCACCTGTGGGTAGGGAGATGCCTTCGAAAACGGCTCTTGCTCCCTTCTTCACCTTCACCACGGCACATTTCTCTAGCCCGAATTCCATTTTTATGTCACTGCTGAACTCTGCTGTGGTATTAACCAGTGTTTGCATTTCGTCTTCACTCTCGGCATACAACTTGAGGTCGTCCATGTATAGCCTATGTGACACTTTCGGTCGACCTCCCTTCTCCAGAGAGTATCCTATGTCATGCTTATTCAAAAGAATGGACAGGGGTATAAGACTCATGATAAAGTGAATAGGTGATACTGAGTCTCCTTGGAATAGACCTCTATTAATTTTAATCCTCCCAAGGGAAACTTTACCAAGCATCAGGTTAACATAAAATTGCTTGAAGGAGGCTTCAAACAGATCTATGATGGATGAAGTGATACCACATATGGTCAAACAAGACAGAATCCAAGAGTGTGGGACGCTATCATACGCCTTCTTGTAGTCTATAAACGTCATGTTCAGGTTCCGCTTCCTTCGTTTACAGTTCTTCAGAATGAGTTTGTCTATCATTAACTGTTCTTTACATCCTCTGCTCTTCTTCTTGCACCCTTTCTGCTCAGGGGGGAGGAGTTTTTGCTGGTCTAAATGGTTGTATATGGAATCTGAGATTAGACCAGTGAACAGTTTCCACATAGCTGATAAGCATGTAATAGGTCTGAAATTGCCTGGGATGGGTCCTTTGGAGTGGTCCTTTATGAGCAGGTACGTGCGTCCCAATGTCATCCAGTCAGGGATATCAGCGTTGGTTAGGCAACTCATAAGTTGATCTGCAATCCTATTGTGGAGTTCTTTAAAGTGCTTTATCCAATAAGCATGCAGTCCGTCTGTACCAGGAGAGGACCAATTGGTCATTTTCTTCACTCTATCTGCAACCAGGGTGTTAGTTATAACAAACTGTCGCTGTTCATCTGCTGAGGCTAGTTCTGTTCTGACATCCGGTAACCATTCAGCATCACTGTTATGTTCAACCGGCTGCTCCCATATGTTCTTCCAGAACTTCAAACAAGAATCCTTGTCAGCCTCAGGGTGGGAGATATCCTGTTCTTCAGGGTTTGTTTGAAGGTTTCTGTAGAACTGCCTCTGGTTGTTTCCAAACAACTTGTTCTGGTGGTATCGTTCGCATCTTTTATTAAATCTCTTTATCTTAGCTGCTTTTGCACGTAGACATTGCTTGAGCTCCTCAATGATGCATGATATACCCTTTTTCTTCAACAGGGGGTGACGTCTGTTGAGCCCTTCTAGTATTTTTTGTTTAAGGGTAATACCTTTCTTCTTCTCCTCAAGATAAGAGATGTCTTTCCTCACCTGGGTAATCTTATCTTCGATTCTTCTTTTCCATAGCGGAGTTTTCCGCTTCTCTGCATTCTTATTTGCAGGTTTTTCACCAAGTCTTTCGCTGACTAAATGTGCTCCTGCAAGCAATAGAGTGTTGGTTTCAGTGATTGAAGAAGTAGGAATCTCTGCTATACATGAGTTGATGAGAGATGTTTCCTCCATAAGCTTCTTTCTGTTCACATGTCTCAGGGGCTTGGTTTCTATCACTGAAGGGTCTTCTAAGAGGGTTTTTAGCCGCTCAATGATTGCCTCCTTGTCAAAATCAGGTACCGTTGCGGTGGGGGTGAGTTCTTCGGCGGCAACAGTTGGGATAGTTGCATCCCTCAACGTCCTGATTGCTTGGGAGACTGTGGGTAGAGCTTGAGTTGTCGTTGTTGGAGCCTCTTCCACTACGCTAGGTGGAAGAGTGCCTCGAATCTCCAATAGTTCTATGTCTGAGAGGAGATTATTATTTCTGATTGACCTTGCTTGGTCTGCCAATCTTTGTTCTGTACAAGTGAAGAGTCCGGCATCATCCCACAGTGACCGGAGTCTCCTTCTATAACCAGAGCGGGATGGTTGGCTCTGGTAATACAGTGTCATGAGCTGTATGTTGTCCTCCTTGCTCCACGTGTGACGAGTGGAAGTCTCAGTGCGAGCCTTCCTCTCACGGCGTGCTGGAGGGGCGATGTTAGGTTGTTGATCCTGCTCTGACCCATTAGTAGGGAGAGTAGGAGAGTTTGAAAAATTTGAGAGAGAATTCATATCATAACTGGGGGACTTGATATACCCCCTAGAGAGTTGGCAGGGAAAACAGAGCACTGAGCGTTGCCCCGCGTCGCCCAGCTCCCCAGGTAGCTACCTCCTGGGTAGTAGACCCGTTAGTAACCATTTAACCCATGGCCACACATCCTTTTGTCACGAGTCCACAACTTAAGATTGGGGGACATCTACGGGTCAGTCCATGCCCGGAAGGAAAACCACTAGGTGTCAATTGCACCTAGTCAAGAAACCAAGAGCTAGAGCAGAAGGATAAAAGATTTTCACCAACGAGAGGCAAGAAAGGGAATTAACCGGGGGACAAGTAACATCAAATACAAGGATATATATAACATAATTTCAATTACAATGTAATTACTAATACAATGGGTATGGTAAATGGTAACACTATAAATAGTAATTATTTACTAAGGATGGAGAATCTTTCAGTACTGACAGTCTATGCTGCTATGATAACGAATAAATATATAATAAGGGGATAAATCTTAAAATACTGCTGTTTCAGTCACAGATACTTTTCTTGGTTTTTCCATTTTGTGCTTTTTTTTGTCTTTTTTGTTTTTAACTTTTTTTTGTAATTTTCTTTCTTTTTTTTTGTTCCTTCCTAAACATGAATTTTAAGCAATTACAAAATCTCACGATAACATTAAATGATGTTGAGAAGGACAATAGAGCCTGAGGTTCTGATGGTCTACAGGTGTTTCACCAGCTGTTTGGTCAAGTTCTAGCCTGTTACTCGGACTAGTAACGGGGGAACTAACAGTGTTAATAGTTTAAACTTTGTGCTATAACTGAACCTCAGGAAGAAGACATCTGGCAATGCCAGGGAGTGAGTAGCTCTAGCCGGCAGCCATCCAATGGACTGCTGCCGTTACCGACCCCGGGGGTGCTGACCACGAGTATCAGCCTCGGACCCACTACTCACTAGCTCTGGTGTTCTGAGCGGGGGCCTTTTATTATTATTATTATTTTTAGTAAATTTCTGTGACAGCTTAGCCATATCTCTCAATGACAATGTTCGCACTGACATAATTTACATATTTAACATGTTTTTGTTTTGAATGCAAAGAATTTGTCGGGCTTATTTGTAGTTGTACGGCCATAAATTATGAAATTGTTGATTCAATCTATACTATATTTTAATCGACGAAATTTCCAAGGCAACAGCTTAAAAACACAAACAAATTGACCAAAAAACAACTTTTCGCTGTTACCATTTTAAACCTTAATTGACTGACAGGTTTCTAGTACATAGTACAATATAGTTTTCAAATAATAAAAACACTGCAGCCTATTATATTTATTGAGCATTATTGTAATGATATGGACAAGTTTTTGCCAAGCGTAGCACCCTAGCTCTAAATGAAAAGCTCTAATAAGATGATACAGAAGGAATATATTTAATGTAGTTCGAGGAGTCCTTATCAGCTCCTTTTGTCAAGAGTGGTGTTTGTCTTAGGAACCGACCGGAATGGGCTTTTGGCTGTCGGACCGGATTTTGCCGGATATCAATCTATTATCCGGTTAGCCGGATTTTGCCGGACTGGAACCGGTTGTTAGGAAGGGCAAATATAAGACTGCCGGAACTTGCCGGATCTTGCCGGAAAATTTAAATTAATCCTTATTATTGAGCTTTTCTCATTATCAATTGTGATATTAATCCTTATAAGCCATAGTTTGTAATTACACAATAAGTTCCGCATTTATAAGAGCTATACAACCCCACCGATGATGTTTACTGTTTAGGCCTAGCAGTAGACAAACTATAGACATAGGTCAAATATCAAATCAACGAGCAGTACGTTGTAACAAAAGTAACCAAAAAGTAAGAGTAGACAAGTTATTATCAGAAATAATATGCAATTGGCATAGAAACCACTTTTCTCCACGTTTCATGCTGTACCCTGTTCATTATTAGCAGAAAATATTTGTTCAGTTTTCCGAAGTCCGCATCTACCCCTCGATACACAATTTTGGACTTGGGGCTTCCCCTTGTAATGTGATCTCAGAAGGCAGCCCCCGCCCCCCCCCCCCCCCCCCCCCCCCCCCCCCTTTGCAACACGAGCTCGGAAGCAAGAGCTCTGCCCTCAGAGGTACGTATCGACTTCGAGAATGACTCGGACCAAAAATGTTATGAGTCAAAATTTTCGGCATTATGGAAAACTAATTAAAAAAAACCGTTAAGCTTTTCCGAATTAGTTTTCCGTAATGCCAAAAATTGGATTAGCTAATCCTCATCCTGGACATTTATATAATTACATAAACATAAAGTAATATATTTACAGCAGATACTTGTGGCTAATCACTTGGTCCCATAAAATCCGGGGTCTCACGGTGATATGCCTTCCAGACATTGATTGGGTTAACAAGGTCATGTCGTACGTCACCTCAAGATCAGGTAACAGGGAGCTGACCAGGCCAGAACCCAATTTATTGGGTCTGATGTCACGTGATTATGAGCCTTAGGTCACGTGACTATGACGTCATCAGAGCTTGTTCTCCGTTTTCCGCTCATTGGACCAGCTGTGAGCTCGCATGCTTGTGAACGTGGAATATGAGTGTATGTGTACTTAAAAAGTCTGATAGAATATAGAAAACAAAATAGTTGACTGCTTGAAAGCTTAATAATAAACTGTGAAAGAGTGGAAAACGTAAATAAAACAACATAAATAAAATTACGTAAATATAAGAGACCGAGCTGCAAAAAATCCTGTCTACGTCGCGTTAGATCATTTTTCCAAGCTGGATTATTTCAATAAAGCACCGCTATCATCTAATTCGATTGAAGAAGCAAAAAAAGGCAAACAAACTCTTATCCCCGATGGTTATTTTGTGCAAGGGTAAAAACAATAATGATATTGATAATTAACTTGTAATAGTGTGGAAAATGAACATATATGCAACAATAAAAATGCAAATTCAATAAATCTTGCAATTTTTATCTAAAAATTTTAGTTTTTATTTCTTTATTAGTCTGACACAGGAATCGAAATCTAATTGTAATGATTTGTGAATTTCAATAATAATAATAATAATTATTGATAAGATAAGGGTTGACCCCTTCTTAATTTCTTTCAAAATCAATGAGCCATATTTATTTCATTTTCATAACCTCGTTTTACACTTTTTGATTGTGACCCATATAATAATGGTCTGTTTCACTGCAGAATATCACTTCAAAATCTTCGTTTCTCTTCCAAATCATAAAACAAAATACATGTATTAGTTAATGTATCGTTTGTTGGGTCACGGTTTCTGCTTCATTTTACAAGCCCGATTTAATAACTTGTTTTGAATGACGCCTCTTTAATTTGGACAAATGTCAGCCCATATATTTATATGGTTTTGTGGTTCATCCTTACTGTCACTACTTTCTATCTCTGACATGGATTGGTTGGTTGTCTTCAGCTTCTCGACCACAATAAAGTCCGATAGAAGACTCAAACTTCGACTCAGCTTCATTTTAAGCAGATTATCCGCCACTTTTTGAGCTGGTTTAATAGATATTGATCCCCAAGCAACTCAGCTTCACTTGAGTAAGTCTGATTTCCAGCAAACTGATCTCATAATCACGTGAATTATTGTCTGACTTCAAAGTTCTGTGAAGTCCATGTAGTCATTTTCGATGGCATCAAACCGATGTGCTGAAGATGGGGAGGTTTGGCACGTCTCTGGTGGTGGGACTGGGGAGAACACTGCTGGTGGTGGAGTGGACTGGGCTGCCTCCAGAGGAGTTACTGTATCTGAAGACAAGATAAGGATAACACAAGATAAGGATAAAACAAGATTGTTATTCTGAATCCAGATACAATTTTGAATTTGGTAGTTAAAGATTGCAATTTTTATCGATTTAAGAATTCTAAATCATGATGTCGAGATCCCAAAATAATTAGGTATTGAATGATTAAAAATTAAATCGGCCTACATTAATGCTGATAACATCTATTTACCTAAAATAACTGATTGCTCTCGTCTTTTCCGTCTGACCAGAAATATAACTGCAACAATAGCCATTCCAGCTAGGACTATTCCCGCTATCGCAGCCACACCACAAATAATTAGCGGCAGGTTTGTACTTGAGAAGGTGTCTGAGGACTGCAGTGACTCAGATTTCTCGGCCTCAATATAACTGCCCATAACAGGCACTATATCTGAAAATTCAAGACAAGTTTAAGGATAGAAATATATCATAAAAAGTCAGTTCAGCAATACAGCAAAAAATTGAAGCATTTCCGATCATGTAACTATTTGACGTCTTTGTAAGTATATATTAGCATACCGATTTCCATCATTTAAAATCAGCAGCAGGGTTACCTTGATAACATGCAGTCGGAGAAGCACACTTCGCAACTTCCGTATTGACCCCATCACACATTCTGAAAATAAAAACATTTAATCGTATAAAAATAATAACTTAATTCTTAAATCAATTAATATTATAGCCAAAGTAAATACATTTTTCACATAATTGGGTATTTTTTAAAAGACTATGATTTCTAAAGGGCTCCTAGTTCCTACTTTAATGTCTTTTATATGTCAAGAACGATTAAATATTATAATATTATGTAAATATAAGTTGGATCCTCCCTGTGAAGCTGTCAGTTTACTAATTACTTAAACTAAGTTATCATTATAGCAGAAGAGACATTACACAATTAAATACGAATAACTGGGATCCTAAATTACCATGCTACGTACATACGTACTAAATACGTACTAAATACGTACTACATACGTACTACATACGTACTACATACGTACTACATACGTACTACATACGTACTACATACGTACTACATACGTACTACATACGTACTACATACGTACTACATACGTACTACATACGTACTACATACGTACTACATACGTATTACATACGTACTACATACGTACTACATACGTACTACATACATACTACATACGAACTACATACGTACTACATACGTACTACATACGTACTACATACGTACTACATACGTACTACATACTTACAACATACGTACTTGCCGTGACAGGAGGGTTGAGGGTTAGTACAATACCGATCCCTCCTGATAACCCCTTTAGTACTAGTAGAGTTACTCTCGCAAATACAAGGTCCCCAGTCAGCCCACTCACTCCATCCTCCGTTCAGTGACGTGCCTTATAATCAAAGAGAAAGTTTATAATTATCAACAACTTTATAACAAACTGGACAGTGGACAATGGTACAATATGATAAACTGAAACAATGATTTATAATGTAAGGTGTAAGATATTTGTAGTAGGGAATGAACGATGGGTTTATAAAACTTACAGCATTGATCGTCACATTTGCCGTGTTCAATCATATCTCCTTCGCAATCTCTGCAAAATATCTTATTATCCAAAAATACTGATAGCTAAAGTACCCCTACCCTTAGTAATTATAGTTAAAGTACATCAAGCAAACATTGCATTAATCAAGTATCTATCTATAATTGGGAAAAATAAGACGATTCTATTTTCAACTGTTTTTTGTTCATTTAAGTTTACTTACGCTCCATGACATGCAGGGGCAGGATCTGTACAGGCTCTGGTTCTCATCTGAGATCCTGTACCAGCATTGTAATCACAAATACATGTGCTCCAGTTACCCCAACTGTTCCAGTTCCCGTTCACTAGAGTACCTGAATCAAGTGTGTGTGTTGGAGATAACAACATGATGACAGTTCAGCTAATTGTTAATGTTCGGACTACTTCCTAAATTAACACTTCTCAGTTGAAATGCAGCCAATTTGCAGATCATAAACTTGACATGATGCACGTGATGGCTCCAAACTTTTCTGCCCGTTTACTCGACTGCTCGTAAAGCTGTAATGACCTAGGTTTAGAAAATAGGGTCACATGTAATATGTAGATTGTAGAATGTAGAATTGATAGCTGTACTACCTATAACTGATAAGAAACTAAGATAATAACTAACAGCACTGATGATCACACTTTCCGTGCTCCACCATATTACCCTCACAGTCCCTGAAGGTAAAAGTCATTAGTTTGGGAGTGTTTAAATAAGCTTATTTAAGTTTTATCAGGAGGTGCCTGTTGTTGATTCAGTGACTCTGTAACCGCTGACTATTCACATCAAGTTATCAATTCATTCAAACTCAGCCCAAAAAACCTGCTTACATTATATGGTGGGATCAGGCTACTCTACTGAAATCTATAAATCTTGTACAACAGGATGCGCATCACACGCGACACGGTATTTGTTTTGAACAATGTGACATTTATAATCTTACTTACGCTCCATGACAGGAAGGGGCAGGATCTGTACAGGATCTGGTTCTCATATGAGATCCAGTACCAGCATTGTAATCACAGACACACATGCTCCAAGATCCCCAACTTGTCCAGTTCCCGTTTACTGATTCACCTTTTGGGAATAGAAATTAAAATCATCGAGTTAAAAAGCTCGAAATGCGAGAATACGTTATTCAGTGTGTTGATACAAAAATTCTAGAGTCAATTAAAATTTCAAACTCATTGCAACTTTTTGATCACTAACGTCTGATTGATCATTAAAATTTTTAAAATATTCGAATATTTAAACAATTGAAATGGTAAAATAAACATCTCAAATGTTCCAACTCACAGCATTGATCATCACAGGATGTATGTTCCAGGATATTCCCCACGCAGTCCCTGAAAAATAACAGAGTTGTAATTTAAAACCCGGATCAATTCCAAAATCATCTAACTTGGCTCCATTCCTCTATCAAACGGTAGTAATAGTTCATGTAATTGTTAATGTAGTCGCATAGTGTAAGGAACAATGTATAGCCTGACAACGTTTAAAATAAACTAAATAAAAATGACAATGACTTACTGTCCATGACAGGAAGGAGCGGGATCTGTACAGGATCTGGATCTTATCATGTTTCCAGTTCCAGAGATGTAGTCACAGACGCACATATTCCAAGAGGACCAATTTGTCCAGCCTCCATGCACTGATTTACCTGAGTTGTACTTTTTTAAACGCTTGAATATGTCTGAAAATAATCCAATCAAACTTTTTTCTGTTCTATTATACAAAGTTTCAATTTTTTAATTGAAAATAAACTTACAGCACTCAAAAAGACAAACACCATATTCCACTCGGTCGCCATCACAATCACTGAAAGAAGAAAGTTTTTATTTCAGGATACCTGTTTCCGGATAAAAATGTCCGAATGATTCGATTCTATGTCACAATCACTCTTCCTTGAAAACATGCCCGCCTCCCCAACTTACGATCCGTGGCAGAAAGGAGCGGGATCTGTGCAGCTCCTAGTCCTGGTCTTCACCCCAGCTCCAGAACTGTAGTCACAAACACAACTGTTCCAGCTCCTCCACTCCGCCCAACCTCCGTCCACTGTTTGACCTGGTGGATTAAAGGTGGTCAGAGATAATACAGAAATCGGATGTTTTTTTTTTTGCATTGATCCAATCAAATTGGTGGTTGTTGGTATCAGTTCCAAAAAAACAGACACCATGGGAAAAGTAAGACTTGGATAGCAATCTACTCACAGCATTCTTCGTCGCAGTTTCCCGTCAGCACACTATCACCCTCACAAAAACTACCCCCACATTGAGGGTAGGGACTGTTACAATGCCGGGTTTTAGTCCAAGTCCCGGAGCCTACATCTGAGTTACACTGGCAGGAACCGGACTCCTTCCACTCGGACCAACCCCCGTGGGTTGTCTGGCAACAGTCCCCGTCACAGCTCCCTGTTTCAACTTTTGGTCCAATACATTCGCTGCAATATAGAGGTGAGTGAATTAAATTAGGTTTAAAATTTGAAAGTTTTTGCTGATGATATAATTATCCAATTTCTTTTTCTTTAAATCTTACAACAAGAAAATGTTTAAATACCTGCCACTACAAGAAGGGGTTGGTTTTGTACATTCCCTTGTTCGGGTTATAGCACCAGTACCGTCAGTATGGTTACAGAAACATGGACCCCATTCACTGTAGTCAGACCAGCCCCCATTTTCAGTTTTACAGCAGTCCTTGCAGCACTGCTCGTTGCATTCCTCACTAACACTTGTTGATCCTTCGCATTTACTGGGGTGATTTTCATGAGTTGAGTTTATTGCAAGAGTCTTTAATGAAAGTAAATACAAAACGAAATCTTACTATATAAAACGATTTGAACTAGTAAGAGAAATAGGAAGAGACCTGCCACCACAAGCAGGCGCAGGATTATCACAAGTACGTGTTTTGTTCCTAGTTCCAGTCTCTGTTTCGAGATCACAGTCACAATTACTCCAATCACTCCAATCCGTCCACCCTCCATCTACTTTCTTGCCCGCGTCACAGCACTGCTCGTGAGCATCACAAACCTTTGTTTCGTAAGCTAATCCTTGACAGTCTCTACGGTAGATTGTAATGTTATGTTTGTAGTGAGGACTATTACTGATAATAAGTTATAGTGATTACTGTTTACTGTTCATTGTGTTTTGTTGCGAGTTTTCGCAGTTGTACGACTGACATACCAGCGTATTACGAAGTTGCAGTAGTTATCAAATATTGTATTTAGCAACTTTACACGCAAGTAGTCAAATCTCTTTTAAACCATATTGAACATTTTAAAGTCCAATTGAACGAACAAATGATAATGTAACCTAAGGTCTTTGTAGAACTAAGACACTTACTTAGCCTGTTTGCCGTAACAACCAAAAGGTCTAGGATTATCACAAACTCTAGTTCTCTTTCTTAACCCTGCACCATCACCATCACAGATACAGTTAGTCCATTCCTCCCAATCTGACCAACCCCCGTCGTGAACCTTACCTGTCACATTTAGATTTAAATATTTTTGGGGAGGAAACATTTAAAAATCATGTTATAGGCAGGTAGGTGGTCGGGAACATAGTTGTGCAAGACGTGTATTCGAGTCGAATGTCGATATTGGCAGACGGTGAATTTGATTCGTTGTAACTTGTATAACAGTATAATTGTATATAACATGTTTTTGTTTTGAATGCAAAGAACTTGTCGGGCTTATTTGTAGTTGTACGGCCAATTTTAAAATTGTTGTTGTAATCTATACTACATTTTAATCGTCGAAATTTCCAAGGCAATGGCTTAAAAATCACAAAAAATTGACCAAAAAGCAACCTTTAGCTGTTACCAATTTAAACATTTGACTGGTAGGTTTCTAGTACAATATTGTTTTTAACTAATTACAACACTGCAGCCCATTAAATTTATTGAGTATTATTGTAATGATATGGACACGTTTTAGCCAAGTGTAGCACCCTAGCTCTAAATGAAAAGCTCTAATAAGATGATACAGAAGGAATATATTTAATGTAGTTCGAGGAGTCCTTATCAGCTCCTTTTGTCAAGAGTGGCGTTTGTCTTGTATCAAATTTATTAAAACAAAGCCCCACACTGCTGTTTATGGTTGGTCTGACAGACGCAACCGTATAAATGTATCTACTATCAACCATAGTCCAACCAATAGGCCCAGTAGCAGTAAACAGAAGACCCCCAAAATGTCTTTTATCGTAAAACCTGAGTTAAAGTGTACATCAGTCCGCTATCTTTCTAGGCCAGGTCAATCTTTAAGAACATTAGATTGATAATATAACGGGGCTTGATTTCACGGGCAACCTTCCCCAGGGTTGCCACACCCCAGAGGTAGGCAGAGCATCTCAATGCTATCTTTTCGTGGGCTATCTTGGCCCAGCCTCTCTTTTTTTTTAAAGAAAAAAAAGGGGCTTGGTGGTATAATTTAAAATGAATTGAACTGGTACTCTGAAATGCTGCCATTGACTTATCGTTAGAAATAGTCACTAATCCAAAGTCAGGATATTAAGCGATAGAGATGCAATATCTAAATCTTATCATAGTAGTTAGTACTGTCTTTGATAAACTTGAGGAGAAATCAATCAAGCAGGACATTTCTCCCCATTGACTCACGAGTTTCCACACAAATATATTTATATTATCTAAAGCCACTCACTGGTCTAACAGACGAGACCTTATCATTGTGTTTACTATCAACCATAGTCCAACCAATAGGCCCAGTCGCAGTAAACAGAAGATCCTCAAAGTTTGGTTTATCATAAAACGCCCAAATTTCGTTTCCTTAAATTTTATAACGAGACATGGTCTCGTGGAATCCACTCAGAGCTAGATCTTCTGTAGGCCCACTAATTACTAGAGTGCTTTCTCCTCCTTGCGAGGATATGTAGTGAAGACCCAGTTTCAGAGTGCCTGAGTTAAAGTGAACATCAGTACGCTATTTGAGTATCTTTTTAGATCAATCTTTCAAAAATCTTGATACTGATATGACCACAAACAGAAAAGGATAAACTTGTTCCACTATGGCTACAGACTGACGTTGTAGTTTTCAATGATAACTTCAGGTGCAATTGATCAAGATTACAGTGCTGGCAAGCACGACCTTGGCAAACAAAGGAAAGTTCTGTTGAAGCGAATTGTTTTTACTTTTTAGTAAGCCCTATTCCCGAATCTTATTTACCCAATGAAAAGAATTGCACAAACGAATTGCAGAACTAAGTCAGTGGTAAATGTCAGGAATGTAGACACCCACCAGTGGTTAATGTTAGTATGGCAAATCGATAACAAAATTCCAAACAAACAATCAAAATCTTTAAAAACATATCCCAAACTTACAACTCGTATTTGTCCGTCTGCGACCACTATTTCTTCTAAATGAACTCACTCCGGAAAACAGTTGCACCAAGGTTAAAAGGAACCACAGCAACTTCATTTCTTTCATTCTATGCCTTTTAAAAGAACAAATTGTTATGTCTGATTGTTCATTCAATACTCATATACAGTAGGCCCCGATATTTCTTGATGAAAAGATCATACTAGTAGTTTTAACATTGATCGGTTGAAAATAAAAATTGAGAAAAATAAATAAAAAGCTTACAAACCATTTAAAAGTGCAGACGTACTGCACATTTTAAGATTACAAATTTGTAATAAAGATCTAAATGTGTCATAAAGAGGTTGGTATTGTCTAATATCGAGTTGACAGATTGTACAATGTACTATCTTTAATGCAACGATTTAGAACTGACGTTTGATATTTCTAGTTTTAATAATAGAGGGCCTTACGGTATTTCTAATCGAAACGTTATGTACTATGAACATATTACTTTACTGAACGTATTTTTTGCCGTAGAAACGGTTGAAACTTGAAAGTGGTTCATTTATGATTGGATTGATATTTATGTGTATTTTGATAAGCTGACCTTACCGATTCTACCGCCAATTCTAAATAGGTGCACTATCTAAGAAGAGAAGTACGTACCTTTAAACTGAACCAAAAGGTACAAAAGCCACAATTTAGCAAAATTTTGAAATTCATAAAAATTTTGAAATTCGTGGTGAGTTACAAATTGTCTGCTGTTCTGAAATTTTTACTCTGATCCAAGATTATTTGACTGCCATGACGCTGGCAGTCTACAGCTTAATCACGAGATTACGAAATAAGCTATTAGTTTTATGTAGTATTATACGTTCGTCACCCATATTCCTTTGCTGCTGTGTCGACTTTCACAATATTTTGCCTAATTCAGCAACTTGCGAAGTTGAATAGATAAAATACAAAATTAAAAAGTTTCCCATATTTGTACCGCAAGAGGAAAGGTACGGTACGTACCTTTCGGAAAGGTTTTACCGTACGTAGGTACTTTAAGCCGGGTACCGTACATACTTCTCATCTTAGTGCACTATACTTATAGAGTAGGTATAGAGTACTACATATCACGATGATAAAAGGCAACAATATAATATTAACAAAGCTTTCTAAGTTACGACTACGAGCAGTTAACACATAATGTTATTTGAAAAGGAAGGTAAGAGCCAATTGGTAAAAAGCCAATAAGTTATTTCCAAAGAATAGGCAAGAAGAAATTGCAAGAAATACAAGATACTGTTGTAACGGAGCCTCGATGATTCGTCCTTTTCGTTACCTCTAAACATACTGACTAGAGTCGTGAGAGTTGTCACGGCTCGAGTCACGGACCGTCTGTTCCGACCATAAACACATTTTATTCATTTGCCTCAAACGATAATTCATACTTTCTTACTATCAAATCAAATCAAATACATATATCCGCATATGCGTGGCCGGCCAGAGAGTTGATCAATCAATATTTCAATTAATTAAAACATCGCGTCGCCACTCATGCTCACCAAATAAGGAAAATACGAAGGAAAGGGAAAGGGTAACAGTCCAAAATACCAAAATGGTCTCCTGTGTTTTTTTGAGCTACCGAGAGTCCAGAACACCTTCATAGATATGAGAAATTAGACAAAAGTGTCAAGTGTGCGTAACCCATTAGGGACGATAGGGTCGTTTACGACCCACCTTTTCTAGAGGCTATAGAGGACAAACCATAATACTAAACGCAACGAATCTTTCGCACATATGCTCAAAATTTATTGGGCTACATTATTGACTTTCCAGTCGAGACCCAATTAATTACTAACAACTAAATAATTAGGCTAATTAGTCGTCATAATTGGAAAATATTTTACTTTACTTCTTGCCTTGATTGGGACATTAAAACTTTATGTAGGCTTATTTTGTTGAGGACAAAAAGTTGCGGGCAACGATTTCCTTGAGACATATGAAAAGCCCGTGATAATCTGATGTTCACAAACAGAGCTAGACGCTGTTTACTAACTGCGGTCGCATACGACCCACTCGTCCGGGTCGCAAACGACCCATCACGGTTTTTCGGCTTTAACTTCTGAAACAAAGACGTTAGGATAAAATAAAAACTGTAGCATAAGTTAAAAACATATGGTCAATACTGTGTAACTCTAACTTTTTAAAAATAAAGAATTTGGGTCATTAACGACCCACTCGGCTCACTTGCTTATTATTACATATGTCCATGTAACTTCTTGAATTCAGCCTAAAGCATGACATCATAAGTTCAAAATCGCCTCTCAGCAAGTGATAATCATCATAAACTGCGAAAAATCGGTTAAATGGGTCATTAGCGACCCACTAGGACCACAAAATTGATTAATTAAATATAATGTTGTCAAACTTTTACAAATATTAGTATAAAAACATGTTATATCTTGGTCATTACTCCTGTACGTTGATTTAACTTTTAAAATCGATCAACTGGGTCAATAACGACCCACTCGGAAGTTGAACCACCTCATCAATTATTATCAGTATCATGCTGTTCCACCTTCAAGAAAGACACTCGTAGGTCTTAATTCCACGCAAACCACGGGTGGCTGACTACTAGCCCTTCTGAGATCCAGGGCCAACTGAAGGGCCGTCATCACTTATCAAAGAGCTGCGAGAATAACACTACTGCATATGCCTGGAGTTGCGTCCTGACTATAATACTATGGTGCGTGGAAATCTGTACCGAAAGGACCGTGGCCGTGCCGCAAAAGAAAAGGAATCGGCCCTCGTTCCTAACTTGCTAGGTAATAGCCATGCTGTTGTTGTTGCTTATTAGATTCTGTTACCTTTTTCGTCAATTTCGAATCTTGGTAAACGACCTGCTACAACCCACCGCTTGAGACCCAGGGTCCCACGGTGATCAGATCATGTCACTCAAGAAAAATCCCCTGAACGAAGTATACGAGATATCATGTAACCTTGGGTAAATACTGAAAGACGAGTGGTCAAATTGCATATTCTAATCCAACATGCCAATATGTTTTTTTCATTCCTAGAAAGTACGAGAATAACAACTGCTGCATTCAGATGGCTACATCTACAGCTCTGTGAAGAAGGACAAGGAAAAAGCCCCCCCCCCCCCCCCCCCCCCCCCCCCCCCCATTTGGCTGGCGGTGCTGCAACCAGCAATCTCTCAGACAACTACCTCGTTTTGGGTAACAAATCCCACAACAACGAGGCAGCTTTCAAAACGAAAACAAGTATTACGTAATCGGCCGAGAGGGAGGGGAGTTTCCAAATGATTAAGCTTGTGTAATTTTGACATAATAGCTATGTGGTGGGGGGGGGGGCCGGGGGGGCGTAAAAATTGTCCAATAAGTGATTACGTAATATATGAACGGCCCCTAAGAAGTAAAGAAAGGGAGCTGCGAAGACAGAAGAGAGTAGATGCAGCCATCTGAAATCTGAATCCAGCAGTTGTATAGTTCTTCTTGGACGTTCTAGGAATCGGGAAAAGATAGGCATGTTGTTTGCTGTCTCACGACATTACGGTCGTGTACTAACAGCTGATAAACTCACCTACCTATCTATCCAATTCTGCCCATTATTCGTCAGTCATTGGGTGACGTGATCTGCAGATTACCGTGAGACTCCAGATCTCAGAAGGGCTAGTAGTCAGCCACCCGTGGTTTGCGTGGAATTAAGACCTACGAGTGTCTTTCTTGAAGGTGGAACAGCATGATACTGATAATAATTGATGAGGTGGTTCAACTTCCGAGTGGGTCGTTATTGACCCAGTTGATCGATTTTAAAAGTTAAATCAACGTACAGGAGTAATGACCAAGATATAACATGTTTTTATACTAATATTTGTAAAAGTTTGACAACATTATATTTAATTAATCAATTTTGTGGTCCTAGTGGGTCGCTAATGACCCATTTAACCGATTTTTCGCAGTTTATGATAATTATCACTTGCTGAGAGGCGATTTTGAACTTATGATGTCATGCTTTAGGCTGAATTCAAGAAGTTACATGGACATATGTAATAATAAGCAAGTGAGCCGAGTGGGTCGTTAATGACCCAAATTCTTTATTTTTAAAAAGTTAGAGTTACACAGTATTGACCATATGTTTTTAACTTATGCTACAGTTTTTATTTTATCCTAACGTCTTTGTTTCAGAAGTTAAAGCCGAAAAAACCGTGATGGGTCGTTTGCGACCCGGACGAGTGGGTCGTATGCGACCATAGCTGTATCTTTTAAAGTAAACGAGATACAGATTAGCTTTTTTGGATATCTCATTTTTGCTGTAAAGTGACCTAGTGTGTTAAACGGCATCAAAATCGGCAAACTTTAAAACTCGTCGTCCCTAATGGGGTAAGCCAAAGTACATAATCGATAAGTAAAATTATTTGTATATTCAAAATTAAGTACAGTTAAAGATGTACACGAGTGAAAACATGGAATTATTTCCATTAGAGTTTACTTTCATGATTTTATGTTTCCCTAGAAACAACAAGCTAATTGCCACCCTTATTAACTTTTTAATTGGTTGCGCTCAGCCTGTCATTCCGCTGCATATCGTAGTGTTTATAACACTAAGCCTGGGTTCCCCAGGTTAGTCCCTTGACCCTTATATTCAATGAGTCCGAATGTTCTACTTGATTTGATTGGTTGAATTGTGTGGTTATTTCAGACTTTAAAAGTATATCAAAATACCATACAAGCTTTTACATTTACCTGATAGTGGGTACCTATATTTTCTTAGCCCTTACTTTAATTAAGCTAGAATTTAATATTAAAACCACAGAATTTGCATGTAAACCAAATTTTGCTCGAAAGACACACCCTACAATATGTATGAAACAAAAATGTAGCACAATTACTGAGATATATATGTAACAATTGATTTGAGGAAACGATGTGACAGAGTCAATATATTTTAATGATTCCATGGAGTCAGGAGTGGTAAGTCCCCATACAATTACACCGTAGTCCGATAGTTTCACTGTGTCCTAGTATATGGAACATCAAAGTAATAATAAAGTGGTGTGATAATACTAAATAAGGCACCAAAGCAGAGAGACTTGTAAAACCGAGAATTTTTATTCTGAGAACAAAGGTCTTCAAATTTTTTAAGTATTTAATTAGATAACTGGTTTATAACGTTATTCCTAAGTTTTGAAAAATGCTTCTCACATCGTGCAGATATTCTACAGCTTTTGACTGTACTACTTGGGCCCCAAAACCATATAATTACAAAATTACTAATCAAACGATTAAAAACCTATCTGAAGCGATAGCTTAAAGATCAAAGCATTATGAAAACTTCATTCAATAAATAAACAAATCTTGGAGTTGGCAACCGAGCAAACTTTTCAATATACAGCCCCTGGTAACCCACACGAATATCCCTTGATATCCGTCTGAGACACCGTTTACCCGTACGGCCCTCGTGATTTCAATGAGTCTCAAGCCTTTGACGTTTCCGGAATTTAATTATGAATATGCATTATTCATTGAGATTTTAGCTATTATGGAGATATTATCGGAACAGATTATTCTTGGTAATTATCTGCACCGATCATTAGTTCATAGATGTCGTAACGTGTAAATTACTTCCTCATATTAGAGTAGGGTCCTAACGTCCTTACTGAATCAAATCAGACACAATCTGAATTTATCTTGAAGGAGTGGTGAGGTTGTTGCAAATCATCAGCTAATCAATAGCGATATAATTAAATTTAAGATCCCCCCGTTTTTATTCCATGATCCCTCTACAACTTGTATTAATCAAGTTGCAACGAAACTGGTTCGTGCTCTCTGTTGATATAAACATTTAACCATGACTAATTGACAGTTTCAATTATTTTAGAAATAACCTCAGCTGAATTCATGATTATTGAATCAAATAATCAATTTTCAAAGTACGATTTTTAAAAATGCCGTTCTCTCTACAAATTCTATTTGGGAAATCAAGGCCATGCACGATGAGCATATTTTGTCAAGAAACAGTTTTATTCATATAATAGCTGATATTCGGGGAAATTGTGGTGCGTCAGGAATTGGTTTAGTTCGTAATTTGCATCAAAAGCGAGTCAGTTAAACAATTTCTATTCTTGAATTTTATAAATTCAGATTTATTACTCTTGGACACTGTAATCATGGTACTAATACTATCATATGTGATAGCGGACAGCAGTAACGTCACAATAACAACAAAACAGCTAAATCGGTCACCAAATTTAACTCTAGTTCCTATTACTCACATTATGCTATTACAATTTACTTTTAGTTAAATCTCCCCTCCTCCCCTTCCGTACAAAAAAAGTAAATTATAGTTTAGACAAATACTAATTAACATCCAGGGACCATTTGACAAGGCCGTCTTATATTATACAATGACTTGGCAAAGCTGCAAAACATGATGAAGAACTCGATAAATTAGATTTATTGTAAAAGCCTTCACTTTGTAGGGTCCTTACAGGCTATTTCATTGCTGTTATCAAACTAATTTTTTGTCTGATATCAATGATTTGATATTATTAATATTAACATCCTCACCTCAATGAACCTCCCAGCGACGCCGCACTCTCATAATTCCGTGATCCGGCTTGCTACAAGCAGCTCGGCATTATTAGTACACAGTATAGTTATTCTATTGGATGAAACACAACAATAATTACTGCCAGATAGTACGCTCCATGGTTGTGTATAACTCCTAGTAGTGGTTGTGTATAACTCCTAGTAGTGGTTGTGTATAACTCTTAGTGGGTCATGGCTGAGCGATTACACTTTAGTGAAACTAAAAGGTCGAGAAACAGCGAATAAAATCAAAATTGATTCTCGTGATGCTCGGAAAAACGACACTGTCGGGTGTCAGGCCTGACCTTACTTCATATAATACTAAGTACCAATGAGCCCGGGGACGGCATGTTACTCTCGGTCAATATTTTACACGATTTTCAGATTGATTGAAGCGTTGCAAAGTAACTTAATACTTTAATAAGAAATATTGAAAGATGTAATTTCTTATAGACGTCCTAATATTCTGCGAATCTGTTACGAGGCGGGTCCGATCAGTTTTGCAGTATAATTCGGGATAATTCTGCGGGATTTGAACTGTTAAGCTGCCGGCAAATTGTTGCCTATTTTTCGGGAGAGTTCTAAGGTTTTCACCGATCTTTATTTCCAGCGAATAATTCGATTAAACAATTATAAGACAAATACACTCCAAACATCATTTACAGTCCATATCTTGCAACAATAATACAATTTTTGTAAATTTAAGATGAATATTAGATACGTACTGAAATGTAATTCAAGTTAATAAGCTAAATGAACTAGGAGGGAAACAATTTGTCAATAAATTTATGGTAAGTTTTCATTCCAGAAATCATAAACACTATGCCAGGACTTGAAATCAGAGAGAAATATTGTCTTCACAAAAATATTTCAAGCCAGATCTACTGTACACTGTACAGTGTATATCATGTACTAATTATCTTTATCGGCTTGATTGTATCGATATCGATTCTGCACTCGTACTGTCTTCAGAAAGTGTTCAAGTTAACAGCATACATCTCGAATATCAGTTTCCGAGTCTACTACTGAATCTAATGAGTCTATAATCTACATGTAGGTTGTGTAGTCCACATGACTGTCCCTCAAAGTCCCCATCCTTGACTTTGGCAGGGTTCGTCCCAATTGATCCAAGTTCAGGTCAGATGACCGTACAAAGCCATTGGTGTTTTCTGAGGATTCAAAAATGGTCTTAATCATAAACGTTACGACTCGAAAATCGTAAAATAAAAAGTCATACACTTTCATGAAAATCAGTAAAGTTCTTTTTCGTGCAATTAAAACTGCAATATATCAGATATATAATAGTTAGATCATACTCACGGTTAAAATAGGCAGCACCACTATCACCAGAATGAACAGTCCCTCCATTTCCATTTCTATTTCCACCTCCATATCCACCTCCATTTGCCGAATTTCCATTTCCATTTGCAGAATTTCTATTTCCAGACCTGGTTAGCAGCAGATAGAGCAGGTGTCTCTGACACTGAACAGCCATGATACAGCAGATCAAGGAGAGCAAGGTTGACAGGAACACCATTACCAACCACGTGATCAGGTAGCCGTCTATCTCAAACTCTGGCTTTTCCAAGTCGTACTTTGAGGTGTCTGGGGAAAAAAGGGTTTCTTTTCTTTTTCTTTAAAGAAAGGGAGTTTGAGTTTTAAGGTTGAAAATTAAGCGTTGTAATATGCCCATGACCCCTAGGGCCCTGAGGGTCACATATGCAAATGTGAGCCTCTGGGCCCTGGGATCGTGGGCACATTTTAACGCGTCATTTTGAACGGAGAAGCCTATTTAGTCTCACAGTGTATGTGGACTTTAAGTAAAGTATTTCGTTGTCCGACGTAATATAACGAGTTGCTAAAGTTAACAGCATTATATAAAGTTAATTTACAGTTTACTAAAGTAAATAAAGAGTATAATTACATTGTGATAGCTCGCTGATGATGAAGCCGGAACTGCAGATCATGAGACAGGTAGTTAGAACCCACAGGTTCGCACACGGTACCACACTAAAGTGTTATATGAACTTTGAGAAAATACACAAGAACTGTTTGAACTTTACTGCTTCTGCAGGTAGGCGATACACAGTACAAGTTAAAATACTTATTTACCACGACAACGGTAGTACAGTATGACAATCGGATTCAGAGCTGCAACATTGAGAAGTTAGGATTAGGATATTCTGGGAAATGTTTAATTTCGGAGATTTTTAGAAAATTAATTTTTTAAGAGGAAATAAAGAGAGTTTTGGAAAGCACTAACGTTAGGGAGAGTAAGCAGGTGCATATTAGGAGAACAGAGCTGTAGATTATAATGTAGAACATTGGTTGAGCTAGCGAGGATTGCTGAAATGGGTTGAGAATAAGAATTAGCTAAAATTCATTTACTGCGGTCTGAACTTAGTTTTGCGAAAAGGTAAAATGATTTTACTGGCCACTCACAATTCGATGGGCTGAAATTCAATGTACGGACCACCATGGTCTGAACTGAAGTCGGTTCAACATAGTTAATTTTAAATAAATCATATTCAGATCATTACTCATACTGGGCCGCGCTCAGCCTGTCATTCCGCCTAATCTCATGAACATGATAGCCTGAGGTCCCCAGGTAATCAGATCAATGAATGAACATATTATAGTGCTTTTAAACTTTAAAGGGATGTTCAGTTCACCTCGAAGAAAAATGTTTTCAGATTTCCAGCGTTGTAGATAACAGTCAGACAGAGTGTTATAAAGCTTATCATCTGAAAATAGTCATTTTGTTATAAAATATTACAACTGATTGGCTCTAGGAACGAAGAAATTGGATAAACATACAAGGTTTATCACATATAAAGCTAATAAAATGTAATTACTCACGGTGGTAACTGTACAGAAGAACCTTCTACAAAATTTCACGAGAGGGTTTCTTTTCTTTTCCACCATGGTCTGAACAGAATTGCAGATTCTAAACGCTTCTTGCTATATTTTCTGTATACGATGTTCCAAGTCGGTTGCAGGGTGAAAGTTTCTTTCACTTATTAGCTTTATAAGTCTGTTGAAATCTTGAAAATTACAGATCGAAAGCATCAATCGAAACAACTATAAAGCCATTAAAATAAATTAACAACAGCAATAAAATGTAACATTTACCATCATCAATGTAGAGAGTGAGACATGGTTACACAAACCTCAATTTAACTATTTTCACTCACACATTTAACTCTCTCTTAAAACTTAATAACAGCAACTTAGCTATTGAGTGTAATTGGCACGATAATGAGTGTTTTTTCGGCGAAGCTGGATAAATTTAGCTGATTTTATAGTTATTGAGTTACCTGGTTATATGTCGACTAATACTCAATAATGTAAACATATAATCACCAATATGTAAACAGTATTATCACAATAACTTTCAAGTCACAGACAAAATTGTCCAATTTGTGGTTAGTAAAGTAGCGTACTAACTAAATAACCCGCTCTAAACTTACAGAACAAAATGATAAGTGCAAATCATTCGGTTAACCACTTGTAGTTGTAAGACTTTATCCTGCAGGCAGAAAATAATTCCAATAATTTCGGAAATTGTCTGCCAGGCGTTACAAAAATATCATGAGTCTCAGCTAAGAAATTCTTGGTTATCCGCGGAATTTCGGAAAGCGAAAGTCACTTGTGGCCTGAAAATGGTTTAACTGTGCCACGCTCAATTAGTCAAGGTCACGTTGTAATAATCCAGCTTTTAAAAATCAGAACTTGTCAGTCAGTTGCAAAACTCACAACTTTTGGATTCACATAATCTTGTAATCAGCGTATTAACGCTCATTAGGTTCTCATTATAGAACCAGTACCATTGATCAGAATTTAAACCCCTATAATTCATATTGAGAAATTATTTGGCTAACATCCAATAACTACACCCCTGCTGCATCATATGACATCGTGTAATAATCTGCAAAGTCTCCAATAATAAGCGGGGGTGAGGGTGGCTTAGCAGTGACATTTCTTTATATTGTGCTGCATGCAGTCTGTCAGTTGTATTACCCTTACCTCGCCCTTTTTCTGTAAGAATCTTGTCCATAGTTAATGCTACTTAGAAGACGTCATATCGTTGAGAGTGTTATAGTAATCATTATTCAGCTTCTAGAGACAGCTTGAATCATGGTTTAGAATTTTGGCTCAGTAATTTCTGTTTTCTTACGGAGTCCTCGCGATAATTGCAGAATGGTGCAGCTTCAAGTTATCGATTTGCTGGTGAGGATTTTTATATTATATGGTTGATTTCCCCTTAAAACGGGCCACGACGAAATTCTACCCCGGTTATTCACTGTTCATAGTTTAAAACCGTTCAAATTTAAGATGAGCCATACTTCAAATACTCAATACTGTATATTTTCAAAACATCTTTTTGATGATTTTAATGACATTATTAAAAGTTAAACATTCATTCGATCCAGCTATGATGATGTTAACCAGAAGTTTAACATTGTAATAATTTGAAAAGTTTGTAAAACATTTTCAGAAGACAACTTGTGGACCGGGCTGTCAGAGTATCAGGTCCTGCTGGAGGGTCAGACTACCTCTACCTGCTCGACCTGGCGTATCAGACCCTAACGATCTCAAGAAACTACAGATAGGGGATATCTGCCGGTCCCCCAGTGAGTTTAATTAGATAATTATAATACTGCTGCCAGCTACCATTATTATAAAAACCTGACAATTTAACCACTACACACCCTTGATAAATCGCGTAACTCTCATCAGAATTGTACACAATTTTGAGGGGTAAGAGCTCATGAGAAGATTTGACTTCAAGTGGCTTATATAAGGTTATTGTTCTTAAAGTTGGCAACTTTAATTCATGGTATATTAGGAATTTGTCAGATCTTTGTTTGTCCATTAGCTGGTGTGAAATGGGTTTAGCATTTAGACTTCAGGGCACACATTGACATATTTGTGTAAGACTGCTGCCCTTAATTCCTTAAGTTCCCTTTGATTCAACAAGAGCAAGCAGAAACAATAGATCAAGTTGCCAAGAAAGCTACAATTTGTTAATGTTTAATCATAGTCCACTAAGTATCGGTTGAGCTTCTCAAACAAAAGTGGACAATAAAGATATTAAATTGTGAAGCTTTGCCAGCACGTGCTATCTAGAAGCCCGGAGGCTCTGCTTTGCTGAACTACTTGAGCAAGGAACTCCATAGTTTATATGCCAATCAACTGAAAGTTATGGACCAAATCATTAGGGTCGACCACATCATCAGTGAGTGGTCACTATGATTGCTTGAGACGATCTGATATTCTGGTTATACAATCAGCATTATACAATCAGCTGATTGATATGTTTTGACTCAAGATTGTAATGTTTGAACACAGTGTATTACTAACCACGTGTAATCCCTGTAGATGTGATAAAGGCCAACAATCCGGAAGTAGTTGCAATATTGGGGGACGAGTTCTGTCACCTTGTATGTGATCTAGAGCTGGACAGTTTGGAGGAGGAGTTGTGGGAAATTACCTGGTTAGTTTATACCTGGTTACCTGGTTACCTGGTTACCTGGTTACCTGGTTACCTGGTTACCTGGTTACCTGGTTACCTGGTTACCTGGTTACCTGGTTACCTGGTTACCTGGTTACCTGGTTACCTGGTTACCTGGTTACCTGGTTACCTGGTTACCTGGTTACCTGGTTACCTGGTTACCTGGTTACCTGGTTACCTGGTTACCTGGTTACCTGGTTACCTGGTTACCTGGTTACCTGGTTACCTGGTTACCTGGTTACCTGGTTACCTGGTTACCTGGTTACCTGGTTACCTGGTTACCTGGTTACCTGGTTACCTGGTTACCTGGTTACCTGGTTACCTGGTTACCTGGTTACCTGGTTACCTGGTTACCTGGTTACCTGGTTACCTGGTTACCTGGTTACCTGGTTACCTGGTTACCTGGTTACCTGGTTACCTGGTTACCTGGTTACCTGGTTACCTGGTTACCTGGTTACCTGGTTACCTGGTTACCTGGTTACCTGGTTACCTGGTTACCTGGTTACCTGGTTACCTGGTTAGCTGGTTACCTGGTTAGCTGGTTACCTGGTTAGCTGGTTACCTGGTTAGCTGGTTACCTGGTTAGCTGGTTACCTGGTTAGCTGGTTACCTGGTTACCTGGTTAGCTGGTTACCTGGTTAGCTGGTTACCTGGTTACCTGGTTACCTGGTTACCTGGTTACCTGGTTACCTGGTTACCTGGTTACCTGGTTACCTGGTTAGCTGGTTACCTGGTTACCTGGTTACCTGGTTAGCTGGTTACCTGGTTACCTGGTTAGCTGGTTACCTGGTTACCTGGTTAGCTGGTTACCTGGTTACCTGGTTAGCTGGTTACCTGGTTACCTGGTTACCTGGTTACCTGGTTACCTGGTTACCTGGTTACCTGGTTACCTGGTTAGCTGGTTACCTGGTTACCTGGTTACCTGGTTACCTGGTTACCTGGTTACCTGGTTACCTGGTTACCTGGTTACATATAAGCTACCTAGTTTACTCAGAAATATAGTAGACATTATTACCGTACCCCTCTCTTTCTCTCTCTCTCTCTCTCTCTCTCTCTCTCTCTCTCTCTCTCTCTCCCTCTCTCTCTCTCTCTCTCTCTCTCTCTCTCTCTCTCTCTCTCTCTCTCTCTCTCTCTCTCTCTCTCTCTCTCTCTCTCTCTCTCTCTCTCTCTCTCTCTCTCTCTCTCTCTCTCTCTCTCTCTCTCTCTCTATCTCTATCTCTCTCTCTCTTCAGGTACAAGATGAGACCTAACGGAGAGTGGGATGAGAGTGTAATGAGTAAGAACAGCAGGTACCGTCTCTCAGAAGACAATCTGGCTCTGAGAATAGGGAATGTTATTTATGAGGACAGAGGTATATTACGTTAATACCATTGTTTAATGTTAATTGATGATTTTGTCGCGATTTTTTTCACATGTTATAGCACTATTGTACCTTCTGTACTTTTAAAAATAGAGTCAAATCAACTATTTGGGATAATTAAGATGACAAATTTGACAATCAGTTAGTAAATTAGTAAACTGATCAATCAATCCCAACCAGGTATCTACAAGTGCGAGATTGTGAACGTAGAGGGAAAATATAAACGTAGTCGAGGGGAATTCAACGTTATCGTAATACCCCAGGGTAATGAATTCGCATATTGTGATATTGCACAATTGCTAAAATATACTAATCAGCTAATCCTAGAAATTAATTCTTCCTACATATTAGTGCATATTCTTAAATACCTCTGCATATTTCTGGAGCGCCACATGTTTCAGATGAGCTGAATATCTCAGATTGTGAAGATGGGAGAGTGAGGATACGCGTGGAACAGACCCCGATATGTTGCAAACTAGGAGACAGAGTCAATATGGCAGCCATCATCGAGAATAAACCACGCAAGGCCAAAGTGGATTGGTTCAAGATGAGGGGAATCGAGGAAGTTTCACCAAGTAAGTCGTTTCTTGAAAACTTTTTCAAATTTGTCGTCATTTTCTTCCGGGATCAAACACAAAAACCTTGTAAGCAAATCAGTATAATTATAAAATGATAAATATTTTCAAGTAAAATAATTATTACAGGCAGGAGAAAATTCAAAATAACTCACCACAAAGATGTCACGCAAGCGCGTATAAAGTCCGCTTCTACGGAAGATTCCGGAGTTTACCGGATTAAAGTGGTCTCTTCCGGTGATTACGCTATCGGACACATCGTGCTTAATGGTAATTCTTTCCTTGATCGAACGTCAAATGTAAAGCAATTTGAAATGTCGTTATCATACACGAAGTATCGATTGTAACTGGATTTAGGATTAGGATACAAATTTAGATCTTTCTTTAATGTTATAAACTATATGTTAAACTATGAGTAAAACTGGCTGAGAAATTATATTCCCAAATTTCTCAGTTAACACAGCTAACAGTGAGGTGGAAGTTGAGGAAATGATGAAAAGAGCCTTTGCTGTTGTCGACCATGAAAACTCTGGCCTACTGCTTCCTTCTCAGGTTAATCATAATAAATGAATTGTCAATCATTCGGATCTTAAAATTCTATGTTTTTAGCCGTCAACAGTCTTTTTTTACCCGAAATCAATCAAGTAATACTAGTACTTTCAGTGGTTCAGTAAAACCCTAATTTACCGTACAGTTCGGGGAAAGGAAAATAGTAGTTGTACGGTAAATCGGGGTTTAGGGTAAATCGGGGTGTAGGGTAAATCGGGGTGTAGGGTAAATCGGGGTGTAGGGTAAATCGGGGTTTTACTGTACTGAATGAAACGTTTAAAAATCACTATTAATTGTTTACAACGTTGCAGGTAAAAGAGACGATGTCTAACTTAGGACTGACGGTTCCTAACGGGTGTATCGATGACGTCATATATTTGGCCATCAACCCCACGAGCAAATTGGTTCACTATAACACGTTTATTGATAAGATAGTTTATCAGTACAAGTCAGAACTTGGAGAACTCACTTAGATTTGCTATTTTGTTCAAGAAATCAGTTGCGTTAAGTGAAGAGCTGTTTTTTATCGAGAAGCTTTAAAAAACGATCCTTTAAGTTAGGTTGTTAACTGTTAAATCAGAATATTATAGTTATGAACTTGAGTTGATAACATTAATTGCAGAGGTTTGTTTCACAAAATATGTTAATTTTTACAATTACTGCGTATGTTATAACATAATACGGATTATACTGATAACCAGTAGTTTTTAATCTATTCGTTTTAATTTGTCTAAGATTAGCATTGAGAATTTTTAATCCGTCGTGTCTCCGGTGGTGAATGAAAAAATGTATGATGTGATTGTCAAATGACTGATTGGCAGCTGGAAGATTGATAATTTAGCATTCATCCACTGCCACGATTTATACATATGACACGTTCTTCTACGTAATTGATAAATGATAATAATACTATCAAACGTGAAGTAATACCCGAAAATGCATTAAACCTGACATCGATATGGTGAACGGCTGTCAGAGGGCAGCTTATGAGTTCTGAATATTTTAAATTGCACGGGTACTCTCATTTCGGCGTCTACATTTACTGGGGTACCTTCTGCGGCTTTCTTGCTGGTTTCCTATATTTCTGTTTTCTCCCACTCTCCACAGATTCGCCGTTGTGGTATTTCACTAGGAATACAATCTGCTATCGATTTACTTTGGCTGCACGTATTTTCACCGACCTAACCCTATTTAACTACCTTATCGGACCTTCTTTGGACGGTCATTAATTGAACGCTAGAGGCCTTAACGTTCATCTCAATGTCCGTTCGAATAAAGTCCGTTCATTTAAGGTCCGTCCAAGTTAAAGTCCGTTGCATTTTTTTCAAAAATTCGAACTTCTTGTCCAGAATATGACAACTATGAGAACTTTATTGTGCCGTAAGTTAACGACGGAAAGGTTCTCCTTGGTCTGCCGGAGGCACAGAAAACTCTACTAGTATATGATGTTTTCAAGGGGCACTTTGCGGAAAAAGTCAACGAAATTATGGCACTCAACAACATAGTTCATGAGCTAGTCCCCGCCAACATTACAAACTTGTTCCAGCCTCTACATATATTACGGTAAATCGTGTTGCCAATGAAATTGTCTATTAGACGAGACAAAAGAGTTTCTCGAATATAAAATTGATTTATAGATTGCAACGGCCCTTAAGCGCTTGGTACATCGACTTTAATTCTATTTTAAGTCTGTATAATTATCTGCACCCGGGAATTCAAAACTGCAAAATCTTGCAGCTTTGGTAAATTAAATTACCACAATGATATCACTATCAGAGTTCAGACTACGCAATATGTGAGTCAACGAAAATAAATCCCATGGAAAAAGCGCTCTTGATGAATAGCTAATGAGAGCGGGAACTGGAAAAAGGACGGTCAAGCAAAACCCTTGCAAATCTTATCGAAGATATTCCCTCTAAGAGTTACTCCCAAGCTCCCACACTGTAAAACACTAAATCATGTCGAGTCCTAAATAATGGTGATCAGTGCAGACCAAACAGCAAAGCCAAAAAGAAAAGAAAAGGGGGGACCCCCAACCCATGTAGGCGTAGCTGAGACACCTCACAGCAAGTAGACCAAAGTGGCTCTTGCTTCTGAAAGGTGTATCAACTCCCCGCTTGGTTCAGCTAGGCCTGATGGAATTCTCTTCCAATTATTCAATTAAACAGTTATATATAGTATAGCCTTCTGAAGCAGCCCACAAGTGAGCCAGAAAGAAGGTTAACTTATTTTATTCCAGCTGTTGTGAGCCTAATGATCATTATGAAAGTCTGGAATTAATAGAGATCAAGTTTCTAGCTTACTCGTTGAAACTGAAAAGACGTCGAAACTGGGATACAAAACACTACAAGAACGCCCAAAAAGATGAACCAATTGATATGAGCAACGTTTAAAATTGAACAGCGTTTTAACGTTGTATTTAATTTTAGATTGTGAATGAAAAGTTCTTAAACGTTTTATAGGCCAACGTTGGTTAATTTTAAAGGTTAATTTTTTAACGTTGAAGTTGAACTATTTCATGCACGAAAACCCAATTGATGAAGATGATATGCGATATTAAACACTGATCATGTACACATCTTTTAACATTTTTACTGCTTAACGACTGCTTTTCTTACTTACTGTATAAAAAATGGATTTAAAAATCATTTTCTGGAATAAAAAAACGTTTAAAAAAATGAAAAAAATTCGGATTTTTGATGGTTTTGAGTGCCTTCTAGCGTTCATATTAATGTCAGTTCATAATTATGTCCGTTCATTTAATGTCCGTCCAAATAAGGTCCGGACATTAAATAAATAAGGTAGCTGTAACTCTAATGTCTAACCTAAACCATATTATTATTATCATTTTTATCAATCAGACGGTTACTTCGAGAGCCTAAGTGCTAAGTGAAATTATAGGACTGGATCAAGGGGGGGTTCGTTCCGTGAGTGAAACTGAAAGCATTCAGCTTCATTCACAGGCTTGTTATAAATCATACATATCCAGTAACTTGTTAACATTTTTTCAGATCCATTTCAAATTATCATGGCAATTTTGGAAGAACTGACTGACGATGAGGAGAAAATGCTTCTAGACATGAACGAAGACGCACAAAATACTGAATTCGCCGCAAAAAACTGCAGAACATTGAACGGCATATCAAGTAATAAATCACGCAACTTCTCGTCAGCCGTCGTATTGACAGGATCAGGATCGCGGTTATACCGTCGGTCCATTAACCCACACTACAAGATGCGTAAGTTGCTAGGCAACCAGAAGACCTCCCCCTCTTCACGGATCTCCCCTCGCGAGGAAAGTCTGCTAGGAAACCCCCTGTTGAGTCGTCTGCTGTGGGGATTGTTGTTCTTTTTCTGGGTGAGCGGCGTCTGTGTCGTTATACACCGGCTCAGGGAGTTGTCTTCAAGAAACTACACCATGGGAGATCTTGCAGAACTTTGGAACAATGGGGCACCAACACAATAAACGTTTAAACATAAAATTAAAAGTCCGAAAATCAGTATAAAATTTAAATGTTTCAATTATTAGTATATTTTATGGATTTTTTACATTCCCGTAACAGTTGATTTCGTTCAGACTCGAATCTCAATTAAATATAGGGATTTTATTTTATGCTAGAAGTAGAGCATATTTAATATAATCGTCAATTGTACACGAGTACAGTGTAAGTGTGTAACTAAAACCTAAATCCTGCTCTGATCGGCTATAACTATAAATTAGCTTTAGCTTTTATATTAATTCACCGTGTGACTTGGGCATTGAGATTTAGCACTTTTACGTATGCAGCCAGGTTTACCATTACTGAACACCTAACAAACGGTCAACATACGGCCAATATGTTAACTTTTAGTTTAAGCATGGATCTTGTAGGTTTATAACCTACCTAATACCTATAACTATAGGTATCCGTATATAATTATATACCAAAACGAGCGCCGGTAGTTGGACTCGTCGACGGTCTTAATATTTGAATCAAATATTTTACGAGTATCACCCGTTAATGGATTCTGTAATAATTTGAGACATATTTTTTAAGAGTATCACCCGTTAAACTTAACACAAAGTAAACTAGCAAGCATCAAAATGCGCGCGGTCCAGCTAGAAAACCTTACCGGCTGGCGGGCTCGCTAAAAGTAAAAGTAAACAGTAAAGGTGCTTTTTTATTTATTTTAACAGCCGGTTTGAGTTCTCGCGCGAAATTAGGTTACATAGTGATTGCATGCGTGATCTGACTAGTGACGTATTCCAATGTTCAAGCAGCACGTAACGTTGTAGCGCGATGCACTACTGGGTCGCGCGCGCATCAAATAATGCTTCTCGCAACCACGTATGCAGATCGGCGAGATGCGAAGGATTGACATCGTGAATCAACACGTAACGCAATTCCGCAATCAAAGGATCAGCACTTGACAGGAATTCGCAAAATTAAAGTTGCGAACTTTTATTCGGTCCAAATAAAAATCAAAATTAAAACTTTTCATAGATAACTCAAAATTTACGTCTTCACAAATTGTGCTCCTGGATTGATTCACGATGTCAATCTTTCGTTGATACATGTTTCGTATCGAAAAGTGGCATGCAACGTATGTCAAATCTTTCGAAGCTCGGCGAGGCCCAGTCTGCAGTCTAATGGCGCATCTCGCCGATCTACCGATAAAACCCAGTAGTAGTAGTAGTAGAGCATTACTAGATACTACATTATTAAATTGCGCGACAAGCTCCTGGGGAGCTAATTTTAAATTTACGAGACGACATTTTGCAAAAAACCTTGTATCACGTTGCGACTTGATACATGTTTCGTATCCACCGGCGGCGCGCGAAAAGTGGCATGCAACGTATGTCAAGTTGCGACCCCCACGGTCGTTTCACTATGGTACAGGGGATACAGGGGGAGCTTCGTGCGCGGCGGGTCATACAACGTATGACAAAAAAACCGGTATATATTTATATATATATATATTTTCTAAATAAACCCTAGCCAGTGCAGCTTCACATGTTGTTTGACGGATGTTACTCGTCTAAATTTCTTCGAAGTAGCGCGTGCCGCTTTCTTCTCGAAATTGGAAATGTTATGGCAAGTGCTACAAAGTAGCGCGCGCCGGGCCAGATCATTAACAATGGTCAACATGTTGTCCATTGTTAATGATTAATGAATTAGCCCGCGCGGCGTGTGCTACTTTTGACTTTGTAGCCCACTTTCCTCGGACAAGTGAAGAAGAAAGCGCGCGCGCGATACTTCGAAGAAACTTAAACGTGTAACATCCGTCAATTTTCACAACACAATCCAGCCAATCAGAAGACATGAATTTGCAAAGTTAAAGTTGCAAACTTTTATTTGGCCCAAAATGAAACTTTTTGCGATAAATAGCTCAAAACTTAAATTTTCCTCCTGGAGAAGCAACGACGCCATCCTTTACATAGCCATGTGTATACGCGTACTGCGTGACGCGCTTGTTTCACAAGTTGAATATATATATATATGTATATATATATATATATGTATATATATATATATGTGGTTGCGAGAAGCATTATTTGATGCGCGCGCGACCCAGTAGTGCATCGCGCTACAAACTATGTTATAAATCGAAACCTACAATACATTACCTGGCTTGATCGAGTACGACATTACCGGGCTTGATTGATAACGCAAACGGCGAAGTTCTACAACCTGGCACGCATATTGAAGGTTTATAACCTACCAAGAATGAAAACGCGCGTCGATTTGGACTCGTCGAGTCCAAATCTGAAATCGATTACAAGTATCACCCGTTCATGTGCGCGGTGCTTTTTTCCAGCTTCCTAAACAGGACATGAGCCAAAAATAAAATCGCAAGCAATAGACTAATACCTCAGTTTTTAAAATTTGTACCATTTTTAAAGAATTTTTATATAGCATATAGGGTCATGAAAAAAAAAATGAAAAAAAAGGGTCATTGCTATATTATGTGTATATTGTTTGAATAATTTTCCCCTAGCAATAGATTAATATAACAAATTAAGTAACACGCTACAATCCAACTTTCTAATAACGCAGCTAAACCAATTCCTATGATGTATTTGGCTCACGAGACTGAGATGAAAAGAGCATATAATGCAAGGGTCTTAGAATTGGAAAAAGCTTCCTTTAGGCTTTACACCTTTAGTTTTCTCCACAACAGGAGGCATGGGAGTCGAAGCGCAACGCTTGATTAAAAAGCTTGCACAAAAGATGGAATCTCCAACGGGTCAGCGATATTCAGACTCAGTTACATATCTTAGAAAGCGCTTGCGCTTTGAGGTATTAAAGACAACAGTTATTTCGATAATATATAAGGGGGGACAGAGGGCCCAAGTTGCGACATAAACCAGACAATATTGAAGATTTATATTTAAATATTGAGCCCTTTGGCTAGAGAATACTTTCTTAGATATTTTGGACAGTTTTTAATATTGGTAATGTTAATGAATTGTAATTGATTGATATAATCAAGAGGCTTGCGCTTGCATATAATGAACATATTGACATGGGTGTAGAGTTGAGCCTGAACGGAACCTAGTAGTTTCAGTTCCTTGTTTAACTTGCCGTACAGCAAGGACTTCCACTACTTTCGCCCGGCGAGGCACATAGCTCACTCCACATGTAATATTTAGGCCTTTGGCCAGTTTTCAAAAAAATAACAATAAGAATTATCATACTGATACTCTAACCTGCAAAATCGGATTACGCGTTTCATTTAGACACAATACACTCAGAGATACAATAGCTGAACTCCTAACCACTGTTTACAAAAATGTTGAAACAGAACCTCAGTTTCTCTCCGTTCCTCACACACTTAAACTATCCAATGGAACAAATAGACAATGGTGCAATACTGGACATCAGTGCGAGATCATTCTGGTCGCCGCTGGACAGGGCATTCACAGATGTAAGGGTTTTCTACACTCAAGCCCAGTCCAAAAGTGACTGATATTATCTGTATACTGTTCGAAACATTTTTACTCGATTTAAAAAAATGTACACCGTAGTATGAAAATCTAGCGCTGAAGCAAAATAGTTCATTTTTTTAGGGGAATATTCATCAGTATGTTAGCATTAACGTTGAATTTCTGATTTCCTTAATCAATCTATTTAGTTAATTGTTTCGATGCGTAATTTGATCATCAACTATGTTTTTTGGAATCCTCATTGATATGGAGTCCTCATCCATACTGATTTTTTATGTTTTCTAACCTTCATATGCTTCATACCTCTATAGTCTACTCTGTATGTATGTGACATACTTTTTATCTTCGCCATAATTTATCCTGATTGGTTGTTACTGAATTGGTTTTCATGAATCCTCTCTTAACAAAATTGGTAGGGTTGCAGCCATTTCAAAATATTCAGTAAATTCACATTTTAATTTTTCATAGTTGCTCTTTGCAGAATGCACCATTTCGATCATTCAAATTTCAATATATTCACTTAGCCCTTATTTATATCCTGAGAGTTTATCAGTAATATAAAAATAAATAAATAAATACAACATTTATAAACCGCCTTATAGCTAAATCATATAACTCGATATAATTTAATCCTGGAGATAAACTCCAGTGCTTTCTAAAGCGGCTCTTACATTAACTGAGCTTAGTTTAATTGAAAATTAGACATGACAAGTTCATTTTACCTATGTAAATGCAAAATCAATCAAATGCTAGAGAAAAGAAGTATGTTTTAAGTTTGGTCTTGAAAGATGTAACTGACTCAGCTGATCTTATGTCGTATGGCAAGGAATTAAATACTTTAACTGCACAGTGACTAAAAGCTTTCTCTGTGTTTACATAGTTAGGAGAGGGCGGAAAACTAAGGTAAAAATAATCATTATCAAGACGTACATTTTTAAAACTTTGCTGCCTAGGAGATATCAACTCTTTCAGGGAAGTTGGTCGTTTACCACCTGACAGTCTATGCAACGTCTATGCAACGTCCGTGCAACAACAAAAGAACCGTCTATGCAACGTCTATGCAACGTCCCTGCACAATGAACACTCTATGCACACTCCCTGCACGGTCAGTCTATGCAACGTCTATGCAACGTCTATGCAACGTCTATGCAACGTCCCTGCACAGTACCATATGAACACCGGCTACTAGCCGGCTACTAACCGGCTAGTAGCCACTTTTGTAATAACAGCTCCTCAACTTCACATTAACAACCGGCTACTAACCGGCACTTGAAAAGTGGTCACTAGCCGGCTACTAACCGGCTACTAGCCGGCTAGTGACCACAAAGTGGCTACTAACCGGCTACTAAGCGGTCACTAGCCGGCTATTAGCCGAGCTCTAAAGCAGACCTACTAGTAGCCGGTTCCAAACCGGCTACTAGCCGGCACTTAGAAAGTGGTCACTAGCCGGCTACTAACCGGCTACTAACCGGCTAGTAACCACCAAGTGGCTACTAACCGGCTACTAACCGGTCACTAGCCGGCTCTTAATCGGACCTACTAGTAGCCGGTTCCAAACCGGCTACTAGCCGGCACTTAGAAAGCGGTCACTAGCCGGCTACTAACCGGCTACTAACGGGCTAGTAACCACCAAGTGGCTACTAACCGGCTACTAACCGGTCACTAGCCGGCTCTTAAGCGGACCTACTAGCCGGCACTCGAAAAGCGGTCGCTAGCCGGCTACTAACCGGCTAGTAACCACCAAGTGGCTACTAACCGGTCACTAGCCGGCTCTAAAGCGGACCTTCTAGTTCCAAACCGGCTACTAGCCGACACTTGAAAAGCGGTCACTAGCCGGCTACTAACCGGCTACTAACCGGCTAGTAACCACCAAGTGGCTACTAACCGGTCACTAGCCGGCTCTAAAGCGGACCTTCTAGTTCCAAACCGGCTACTAGCCGACACTTGAAAAGCGGTCACTAGCCGGCTGGTGGGTACTAGCTGGTTAGTAGACGGCTACTAACCGGCTAGTACTAACCTGCTCTAGGCGACTCTAAATCAGACCGGCTATAATTCATTATTGCCAAATAAACAAATTATTTGAAACAAATTATTTGAAACTTGTTATTTGAAACTTGTTATTTGAAACAAATTATTGAAATGAATTATTTGAAACAAGTTATTTGAAACACGTTATTTGAAAGTAAGTTCCAAAATCGATTACAACATTTTTATGAAAAATAAAAAAATACTGAAAACTGATTACATTCAATTTCTTCGTGGTGGAGGAGCAGTGTAATTGTTTTTGGGCGCTAGGACGACGCCTTGGGTACAAAGGGTCACCTCATATATCCAAACCCGATTACTTATTCCGATCCCTACGATCTTTTTGCCTTCGGCAAGAGCAGGGAAAAAAATTGGCCAAGAAATAAGAATTTTAGTGCCCAAAATTCGGACTTCCAAGTGGTGTCAAAAACGTGAATTAAATAGGTAATAATAATTTTCACTGGGAGACTTTGCGGCAGGAAACTGATCCGGCCTCCTAAAGTCTTGACACCACTTTAGGGTTAATGGGTTCCTGCTAGTGTTAATAACAGGTAGCTAAACCTTTGTGGCAAGTGTTGTGTGAGTGCTAGCTTCACTGAGCTTATTTGGCCAATTTAGCCTGAGCAAGCTAGCTCGAATTTCTCACGCAGAACTGTTTACATTGGTTAATAGAGACATTGGTTAATAGTGGTTAGGGTTATGAATAGCTTCGGGGTTAGGGTTAAGGTTGGGATTAGGGTGTCTGTAAAACCGTTTTGTTTGGCTGCAAAACCATAAAAACGGCACGTGAAAATTTGGGCGAGCGAATTAGTTAGAGCCGATTTCTATACGTGGCGCTAGCCAGCGCTAGCAGTAGCCGGCACTAGCAGTAGCTGACGAACAATATCGCAACTATATTGCGCTGGCCTGCGCTGGCTGACGAGTAATATCGCAATTATTACATTTTGAAAATAGACGAATGCTCCGCTTGCTCCCACTTTACTAAGAAACGATCTATAAACCGTACCGAAACTGATGGATCCCAAATTATTTATGATATGGGACGCATCAAGTATCATAGTCATTTTTTAATCCTTTTATCAAGATTGTTTAGGTTATATCCCTCCTTTTGCATAAGAATCCCTGCAGGGATGTGATCAGTGAAAACGATGTGATCCCCAATTGAGTTCTAACGGATCACCGCAATCGTTAGGATTTGACGTGACACCATGCATGATAGATCAGATCAAATAACCATGGGTATAACGAGCCCTGACGGACCTGCAGGCCTTTCCAAAAACTATATAAGTAGCATTAGCCACCAACTTATTTATCCCTCGTTCTTTACATCGTTCTTTACTATACATCATTCTTTACTCTTAATCAACATGCGGACCAGAAGAAACAGATATACCGCTCCTACACCTGCTCCTAAATGCGATCACTGTGGGTCTACCGGTCACATCTCCTCAATCTGCTCCAGAAGGACTTACAGTCCCGACCTTCCCTCCCTCAGATGTACTGCCTGCATTCGGACTGTTAGAAGCGCTTACAGAGAGGACCCAGATTATCTACAGATTATAGTACACATCGATCCGTGCTCCCTGCACTCTACACCCACAATTCGACCAAACAGACCTATCCCCACCACCAATCACCGACTTAGAACCTCTTCTACTTCAAGACCTACCCCACCCCCTCCTCCTCCCACTGTTCCAGGACTAGCTCCTCGTACCGCTGCTGCTCCTCAACCGCCTCAACCTCCAGCTCCTCAACCTCCAGCTCCTCAACCTCCAGCTCCTCAACCTCCAGCTCCTCAACCTCCAGCTCCTCAACCTCCAGCTCCTCAACCTCCAGCTCCTCAACCTCCAGCTCCTCAACCTCCAGCTCCTCAACCTCCAGCTCCTCAACCTCCAGCTCCTCAACCTCCAGCTCCTCAACCTGCTCCTGCACAGCAACCTGTTACTGATCAACAACCTGCTCCCAATTCTCCTCAACCTCCTGCTCAGCAAGCTGCTCCTGGACACCAACCTGCTACTGATCAGCAACCTGCTCCCAATGCTGCTGCTCTGCCTACTGGTCGCAGAACGAGGCGGATATTTTCTTTAGACGGGGTTATAGCGGAATACGACGCCGTTGTGCAGCTAGTCAACTCTGGTCTCTCAAAGTCTGCCGCTCTGGAGCAGATACACATTTCTCGGAGTCACTTCTCAAGAAAGCGATGTATCGCTGAAGCAGCAAAAGTTGATCTACCAGGTGTCCAACACGCACTGCTGCAACTACGAGACGTCAGACTTCCTAGTGTTTACACCTTCGCAAACGAGATCTGCAACCGTAATCTTGCCACTCTTAGGACCCTTTGTACCCAAGGCGTCGTCCTAGCGCCCAAAAACAATTACACTGCTCCTCCACCACGAAGAAATTGAATGTAATCAGTTTTCAGTATTTTTTTATTTTTCATAAAAATGTTGTAATCGATTTTGGAACTTACTTTCAAATAACGTGTTTCAAATAACTTGTTTCAAATAATTCATTTCAATAATTTGTTTCAAATAACAAGTTTCAAATAACAAGTTTCAAATAATTTGTTTCAAATAATTTGTTTATTTGGCAATAATGAATTATAGCCGGTCTGATTTAGAGTCGCCTAGAGCAGGTTAGTACTAGCCGGTTAGTAGCCGTCTACTAATAGTCGGATCCCAACCGTTCTAAAAGGCTATCTCGTTAGCTTTTCGTGTTAAAAGCGATTTCTCAACGGTTATCACCTCTCTAGATGATTCTTAAAACATTTGGACTTCATTGCATTTTTGAAATAAATGCAATGAGGGCGTTTTCGGCCACACCCTTTTTCAGGGTTTCGCGGTCACTCGAATTTTTGTATTTCAACCCAGGAAGGTCTTAAAGACTATTCCGATACACCAAAATGTGCCTAATAGCCACATTTATATACAACTTATGAAGCAACATATACCTTAAAATGCTTCGTTTCGGAAATATGGCCGAAAAACGGTTTTTGGCTTGACGCAGTTCATAATTTCCGTGATTTTTGGCATTTCCGCCTAGGAAGGTCGTAGAGACTTTTCGGAAACACTAAAATGTACATAATGGCCACATTTATATACAACTTATGAAGCAACATATACCCTAAAAGGCTTATTTTCGGAAATATGGCTGAAAAACGGATTTTTGCCGAGCGAACAATGACAATATTCACAAATGGGCTATTGGACTGTTAACTAGAAAGGTTTTAAAGACTCATGAGCAACACAGCATTTGTCACAAGATGTAAGATGACTCACTTTGTGTCCAGAAACACCTACAAAAATTGGAGAATGATCTACTTTATTGGGCATCTCTCTTAATGGGCCAGGCCAGCAGCATATTTGTGTCTTACGAAATGGCAATTTTTCAAAATTACGGTTTCTTTAGTAAAGGTCAATGGGTCAGTTGCTAACAGCAAATTGTTCGCAATTGCCGACTCATGCACATCATATACTCAAAAACGCTCACTTTAGGAGTCATTAATAAATAACTACTACATGATTTGTGAAAACTCCAACAATTTTTCCTTGGCACCAATTTAAATAAAATGTGTGACGTGCCAGACCAAAATTCAACTTCAAACTTTTTATTTATTCAAGCCATGAAACCATGATATATGTACCAAGAATACCGGACCTAAAATAAATCGGCACTGGATCCGGGCCAGATTGTTGCTTGACCGCTGACCAGTACCCCACTTTATAATTATGATTGATTTCGCTGCCTCGACCAATATTGGTCTGTAATCCCTGGATTGATATCTCTTGGCCGCAGTTTAATTTAGCTAATTTCCTATAATACCGCAGTGGTCTGGTTCCCACTTCAGAATGACCCCATATTCTTTTTTTCAGTCGCATAGATTTTTCCATCGTATGATAATGTGTGTCATTCCCTCGTTTTTTAATCAAGTAGTGACTTGCTATTTCTTCTGTTATTACAGCTGTGAGCTGCCTCGAGATCTTATCTGGGGCATGGGCACAAATACTAGAACATTAGAACTGTAATTCTAAAAATTCAGATTAAGGTTACTGGGCAGAATAGCATTAGCAGGGTTCGAGATTTGACTGAGGGCATTCAGGTAACATACCAGGTTCATATATCACCAGTTGAGGTGAATCTTAATTTCGGCATGCAATGCCTTTATGCCTTATAAGTTATAAGCTTATAGTTAATAGTAGGATCACGGGGTTTTTATAATAGAAGGTCTCGAGATGCTGATTTAACTATTTAGGTTTCACATGTGAAATTTTTCCAGCTTTGGGTAAAGTGGATTTCAGAGCGGGGAGGGGGTCTAAATGACCAAAATCTGAACGATCTCTTACTTACGGGACACTACGGGACAAGGGACGGATCTCGGGCCTAATAGCTGTTTTTAATGAGAGGCTGGAGTTTGGACCTAGATGGTCAACGTGATGATAGCATGAGGATTTAGGATGCTCTGCCTGCCTTTCGTGGGGTCTTGTAACCCCGAAAGCTGGTATATCTTATCTAAATTAACCTTAGTTACATCCCGTGCTGTTTCGAATATATAATTAGATTTATAGGTCCAATATCAAGCAAAAAAGTCTGATCTCATGTACTGATGTTACACTTATATGATCTCCGACGCGAGGATCTCCGAAGTCCGATCTTAAAGTTGGATCTCAGAGCCAAAAAGAGGAACGTAAGCCTTGGTTCCTCTCTTTGAGAGTCAAACAGGAAATTCGGTGTTATCAACTCAAACTCGGATTCGTAGCACAATTGAAAAACCAAAGAATAAAAATCTTAATGAATTTCCCGACATCCTAAAATTAATATCAGGTCGTATTCAATTCAGTGGCCCAAACTCCAGTAGGTTACAAGACTTAAGTTCAAGTCGAGGAACACTTTGATTAAGCATGATCCTTGTCTAGTTGGAGTTTTCGCATATCATGCAGTAGTTATCTACTAATCATTCCTAAACTGAGCGTTTTAGAATTGAATCTTGAACCCTGCCATTCGGCCAAGTAATCTTAATCTGAAGTTCTAGAATTACAGTTCTAATGTTCTAGTACTAA